AGATTTGATTGGCCAATTCACTATAATAAGAGTATTTTTATTATATTTATTCAAAAAATTCATTATATCAAGAGTTCGCTATATCAAAAGTTGACTGTATGTTTAGATTATGTTAAAGCTTTTTTTTCTTTTACAAGATAATGTTTTGCAAAAATTTTATACTATAATCAATCTAATAGAAATTATACTTAAAACTTACAACTGCTTAGGATATATTCTCAAGAAATAATCTTAAACTGCACATCATATGTTCAAATTTGATATTAAAGCAAAAATTAAATAATATAATAAAAGATTAAGAGATATAAGAATTTCTTTATTAGTAATTTATAGACATAAGTGTTGATATAACAGTTTATTTGAAAAACGTGTATACATATCTGAGAGCAAATAAATTCAATTTAAAAATAGCAATTATAGATGTTCTTTTTTTATAATAATAAATTTGAATACATTATAAAACTACTTCAACACTGCATCATTTCTTGTCAGTTACTGAATAATATTGAGCTTAGCAAAATAATTATTTTCTTTATAATCAAAATTCTTATAAGATCAAAATCAACACATTACTATATCACTTGATTCTTACCTTATCTCTGGTATCAAAGTCTTTCTTGATAAAAGAGGAAAAACTTTGGTAGATATCTTTATTAATGATATTATTTGATTTAACAATTTTTATCAATTAACAATGAATTTGATGTAATCTTTATTATAACAATGATTCAAAAACATGTGTGTAAAGTTCAGAATGAACTTAAATAATGGAAAAATAGTCAAGAATTTAACCTTCCTTTATGGATAACTTCTACAATGAGATTTATGACAATTTCAAATCTTTTAGGATCAGTTCCTATAGCTGAATATGTTGATAATATAACTTATTACAGTTTTAATGGAATTCAACTGGATAGATTCTTAGGATCAAACGTAGTGATCTCTTTTATGGAAGATAAACAAACTGTGGTATTATTATTAGCAAGCTGTACAGTTTCTGGGAAACCTATTAAATGAAATAAGAACAAAGAGCAGGTATTTAAGTCATATATAAAGTTTCAGTATATGGAAAAATGAAAAAGAGAAAGAGGGGAATTTCCCAAATTGAGATCAGTAGAAATTTTCTTGGAAAAAAGAAGAGTGCCTTGAAATGGATCTTAGCAAAATCCCAATAAAGAAGATAACTCAGAAGAAAAGAAGGATGAAAAGTATAATCAAGATTTCAACCATGATGATTTGAATTATGATTTGAAAACACTAAGGGCTACCGGGTATCCAGGGTCTCTAAGCATGCAGATAATCATAAGAAAATCAAAATTTCCACAGAGAATCGAAAACATATTTATGTTTCAGTGGAGCTGCCACATAGAGCTAACAAATGACCAGAGATGTTTCGATTCAATGAATATGGTGACCTTGTAATTATTGTGGACAATCGTAATATGGATTATGTTTTTGGAGTCATTAAGGCGCTAGTGGAAAGAATTAGGTGCGTTACTTTACACAATTAGTTTGCAACAAATGCACTCTAATGTGAAAATTTGTTATTTCAGCTATAAAGAAAATCAAGAAAATTCGATGAATCAGGAAGATTTGATGGATGAAACAGAGTAGCATGAAAATTTCGTTATATTCAGATGATCAGAGTTCTTGTCATAAATAAAAAATAATAGTGTATGTGAATCAATACATGTTGTGTTAGTATTTCTGCATGTATTATTTGATTCGAGCATATTACGATACTTTATGTTAATTAGTCTGCACTATCGTTTTTGAAAAATTTTAAAACTCGAACGGAAACTGTACCGTTCCCTTACGGTTTAAATAAGTAACTTTTTTTTTATTATTGTAGATTTAATTTGATTCAAGAAAAAAAATTTGATGGATGGCCATGATTCATAATACTAACTATAGTTTCATGAAAATTCGAAATTGATTATGACGCTAATATTTACGAATAGCCGGAGCCTTATGTTCCAAAAGCATTTCATTTTGAGGAGCTAATCCAATGCATGCGCGGAATAAATTTTCCATTGCCATACGCTGTTTATTCAATGCATTAACAACAGGGGTTCCCGGTGGTACTAAAGGTGCTTTTAACATGAAACTCAAGATGGACAAAACTGCATCAAAAGGTGCAAATTCCTTCATGTCACCAGCACAATATTCAATACGTGTCATTAACTCGGTGATAATGGTCAAATCCAAAATAAGCGGAGAGGCCAAGAGAGAATCTTCACATGTGTTATACAATGAAATAGTCTAAATAATAGTGTTTAGAAATTAGTTAAACAATTTTAATATTAGTTACATTTTAAGTAATGATTGCTTACGTTCTTTCCACCCATAAATATTTCCGAAACGTATTCATCGAGGGCTCGTTTGGAATCACCAACTGCTGGTACATACTTGATAACGACAACTATAAACAAATAATTCATAAGATATTTAAAAACAAAATTCAATTTAGTTAAACCGTTTTAACAAACATACCGTGATCGGGATGTTCACCGGACTTATAGAGGATTTGGTTAGAAGCAACCATGTCATCAACTACATTGCTTTTGGAAATTTCTTTGGATCGGAATTGTTGTGGTGCAGACAAATTCTTGCCATCATTATTACCAAGATGATTATAAGAAGTGATACCAATTGGTTTAATACCGGCATTCACCAAAAAGTCGACTAAAACAGACTTGACTTTTGTTTGTCCAGATTTAAAATCGTCTCCACCGATATAAACGCGTTCACGTTCTGCAAGTTGAATGCAACCAGGAACAAAGGTATTTTGAGGCGATCCATTAATGAAGGGTGTCTTTTCGTGAATACAGGCCAAAGCAAAAATTGTGGATGGCGAAATTTCCGGATGGCTGTTCTCAACGGCTTTTAAAAGATTGTCGACCGTATCGTTCACGCCTGGGATAATTTCAGCAAAACGTTCGGTATTGGCAGTCCATACGACAATGACTTTATCAAGCTGATTATCATCTTTGAATTTACGAATATCTTTACGAATATGTTCAAGGTGTTCTTGTTTGTTATTTCCAGGAATAAGATTATCAGCTCGATCACTTTGATTAGCGGCAATAAAGTCAGGATAATATATAGAAGGTAACGGTTTTAATAGTTCGAGTTCAGGGGATACCTGACGTTGAAGATCATAATCAAGAACTTGGGCACGTTCCATAGCCTGCGCGAGGTTAAAAGAGCTAATATCCCAACCACCAAGAACCAAGTCATTAGGGTGAACCATGGGCAAGATATGGTTAAAAGGGATGTAATAATCATTTCCATTTGCATCTACGCCTAATTTGAGAGTGGAAGCTTGAACGACGGACCCAAAATAGTTTGGAGATTTGACGCCATCTTTTGTGCGCCACGTAATATTGCGGCGATTGGCAATGATACTGGCGGTAAGGGTTGAGCCATTATTACCTCCCCATCCAACCATCATCAATCTTTAATGTTATATAATTCTTGAATTAGTTTACTTGGTTTCAAAAATATGAAAAGATTTATCCAAGAAAAAAAAGGTATTAAAGGAAAGGTTCCTGTTGGAAGTGAATTTCAAAAACTCTTCGCGTGCGTAAAGATCAACTCAAATTTGGAAATTCCCTAATTTTTAAGACTTACCCGACTTTCGGAACATTCAATTCGGTTTTGAATTGATATTTGGTATCAGTGGGAATAATTTCTAAGGTACCATCGATGTTTTTAGAAACAGTGGTGTTCTGATAAACAAAGTCTGCAATAATATGAGTATCGGTATATTTGACATTAGGAGAAGTAACCTTAAGCGGTTGAACTGGCTCAGAGAAAGGGGTTTGTGAGGTATTTGGTGGCATTATAGATGCTACCGAAGTGTGAAAATTCTAAAGTGTAATAAAAGGCTATCTCGGCTTTGAGCCAATCGTTCTCCTTCGTCCTCTATAAGGATTGTGGAGTGATGCGAGCAAATTCGAAAACGTGGTGGGCAAGTTTTTTTAAGGTAAATTGCGTTATTACGCCTTAAATCTTGTTAAAAGCAAAGTTTTTCATAAATTTAGTAAACAAATTAATAATGATAAATTACATAAAGGAATATACGAGTTTCTTACGTTCTGTTCAATTAATTTAAATTTTTAGCAAAAAGATAAAAATAAATAAATTTTTTTTTTTTTCAAGTTGCCCCTGAATATATAATTCGAAAAAAATTGTTTAAATTTTAGATTTTCGACTGATAAAAAATTTGGTTTTGACAACCAATTATTCAAGAATGATAAAAAATAATCTTTTTTGATATAACATCATCACGATTTAAAGAAATATTCCAAATATGTAATCAAATTTGTCAATCTATTATTATTACAATTCCTATATATGACATAACTTATTAGTCACCTTTGATTTGGAAATGATCAGTTATTTTAACATAATAAAATAAGTCTGTTTTGAGATTTGTCAAGAGCTGATTGTCGCATCCGAAAATTCTTTTAAATTTACTAAAAAAAAAAACCGGATTATATTATGCCGATCTCATATCATGTGATATTTAATAAGCCAATCAAAACTCAAATTTCTATATTTGAAAATTCTTTAATGCAAAAAAAGAAAAGTTATAAAAGTAACCAAGTTTAATTTTATAATAATGATGATAGTATTAGTTTAAATTTTATAAGTTCTAAATAATAAAATTATTTCACATGATTTGATATGTTTAAATTTGAACTAATCATATAAAAATTATATAATTTTAAATATACACTACTTAGACAAAAGTTTTGGAAAATATATTTTGGCCTAATTTTCAAAAATGTATATAATAATTTGGGCTGAAATTTAACACGTGATAGCTTATAATCTACATAAACAATGATATAATTATTATTTTTATTTATAAACAAAATCAAATGTGATCAGCAAAATAGGATTTTGTATTACCTCACACTATGCTACATTTAACGGAAGCTGAACACAACCAAATTATTGGTCTATTTAAAGGTGACACCACAAGTAACTACATTATTGAAACACTTGACTTTTCAAAAACAACAGTTTACCGAACTATTCAAACCTTTTGTGAAGAAAAAGGTCTTAAAACTCAGCTGCGATGTGGTCGTCCTAAACTTTTAAATTGTGAACACCAAAAAACACTAAAAAAAATTATTCAAGCTAATAATCACCAATCAGCTGAATAAATAAAAAATAAATTTCAAAAGAAAGCTAAAATTCAAGTTTCTACCAAGACTATAAGAAGAAATTTGCATGAATTTAATATTTTTTCACGTATTCTAGCATTCAAACCTCTTCTTAAACTAGTGTATTGAAAGAAAAGATTGATCTATTAGAAAATGGAAGTCAGTAATTTGGAGTGATGAAAGCTGTTTTATAATATTTAAAAATGATAGATCAGGTCGTGTTTGAAGAACTCCCAGAATAAGATTTAATATTAAAAACATGGTTCTTTCAGTAAAATATGGTGGTGGAGGTGTGATGATGTGGGATTATTTTTCAGGAAAAGGTTTGGGACTGCTGGTAAAAGTTAATAGAAAAATGAACCATCATGACTATATTTAAATACTTGAGTCACATTTGCTTCCATTAATTAATAATAGTTTTAACAGATGAGGTTATTTATTTCAAGATGACAATACCCTGTCCATATCGCTAAAAATGTTAAAAAGTGAATGAAAACGAAAAAAATCAAAATTTTGGCAAATTGGCCAAGTCAATCCCTGGATTTAAATCCCATAGAACATTTGTGATCAGAGCTGGAAAGACGCATTAGAAAATGTCCTAAACTTGCAAAAAATGAGAAGGAATTAGAGTGTGCTTTACAAGAAGAATGGAATCGAATTCTTAACAATACATTAATAAATTTAATTGAAAGTATATCACGCAGGGTTGAGACATATATTAAGAATAATGGCTGGCCAACTAAATATTAGTTTTGTATATAGTTTAACTAATAGTAGCTAAAATTTTGGCCTCATTTATTATGTATATTTTTGAATAATTAATAAAATATGAATTCCCAAAACTTTTGTCTAAATAGTGTATATAATATACTATTTAGTAAAAATTTTATTGTATTTCTTATTAAAAAATTAGTTATTAAAGTAATTTCAAAAAATTTCTAAAGAGAATATTAATTAGTCTAGAATATTAGCAAAGAATTATATATGTTTTATGCACTTTGATATCTTAATATCTACCTGCTCAAATTTTAAGTTAATACATGATTAATCTCTTTTATTACACTTGTGTTTCAGACTTAACAATAGTTTCTAAAACCATTTTCTAGTAATTAATTAATTTAAATAAGCTTAAAATAAGTTACAAAAATAATTATAACCTTTATGTAATTTTTTTATTTATTTTTAAATATTTAATAAATTATATCTTTATCATATTGTTAAAATATAAAAAAATTATAAATTATAAAAATTTATATAAAAAATATGTTACTTTAAGAATAACAAAGATTTAACTTACAAATAAAATAAAAAAACTTCTTTTTAAAATTTTTCTCTTTTTATTTTTTACTTCTCTTTTCAAAATAATCTATTATTAATTCAAATAATTGATATTTTGTTAACATATTTTTTGTTACTTTCTTTAATTATTTTTTATTTATTTTTCTTTATTCTTTTATCTACAAAAATAAATATCAGTAGGTATCTAAACTAATAATTAAAATTGATAATACTTTAATTTGTAATACGTATACCGATCAGTGATTTTAATATATAAATACAGGAATAATTAACTTATATGTTTTGAACATTCGTTAAAATCTGCTAATTCTCTTTAGCCTAGTTTTTTTTACTACATGTCAAAATACAAAGAATATATAATTTGATTAATTTCTCATGGTATTTAGGATGAAAATTTGCATTTTAGGCCTTTTTGTTAGCTTTTCTGACCTATTGATAAAACAAATGATATAATTTCACTTTACCCAATTCAGTTACATTTCAAAATATTAGTTATATTAAATGAATATGAATTTATTATAGAGGTAGTTTGACTTGACTCTGCTTTTGATCCACACCCTGAATATATTGTATTGTAAGTATAATGGGATTAAAAGTGAGATATGTGAAACAGCAACAGTAACTATTTCTTCAGTATATTATATTCTTTTTAAAACGGTTACAAAACTTCTAGGTCTAGAAGTTCCGGGATTTAATACATCAATTATTACTAATGAATTATTATTAGATTTACCATTTCGTCTTTATAACTTTCAACTTGAGAGCCTTCGAATTTAAATAATAAAAATTAGATGTTCTGATAAAATTATAACTAATTTAGCTAATCCTAGATTTAAGTCAGCTTTCATATATCAATATCAAAAAAGGCAAGCTTTATTTTATCAAGAAATAGATGAATACTATTGCAAAGTAATAATATTTTATAAACCTGACACATAACCTTTATTAATCAAAATCCAGATTTAGTTTAGTCAAAATTAGAATATTACAGCAATATGATGGAAAATAACTTTTTGGACTAATTAATCAGCACATCAAAGACCTATACAAGCAGCTCAAATTTCATTTTGTATCTTAGATGAATGGTATAATAAAGAGGTAATGACCAATGTCATTAATTACCATCTTAAATGTCATATATTGGCAGAGATAGATTAGCACTATTTTTTTGTAATTGGTTGGAGTAGCCAAATATTATTGAATTAAAATCAACCTTACAACTGATTTATCCAATAAAATATAAAATTAGTGATCAGAAATTTTGAGCTTGAAAAGCAATGCTAAAAAATGTTGGCTATTCTAATATTACTCCATATAATAAAAATCAATTAGAGGTAAATTTTATTTTAATAAATATTATAGTTTACATATATAAGCTTAACTGTTAAAAATTGCTTTTATAGTTTGAGTTTTGGTCTTGGTCTACCACTTCAGAAAATGATAGAAATTCTCTGATCGTATTATATAATCTTAGATTTATTATACCAACTTTATCATACTTTACAAATATTTTTTGAGATTCTTTTCACAATTCTTTGGATATTAATAAATATAGTGTTGATGAATGTCAACGGGTATTATCTATAATTGCTAATGATTTTAAATATGAAGATATTAAAAAAAACTTAGATATGAGTAGTCAGTTTACATTTAATATAATTGATTATTAATCCTACTTTTCTTATTAAGCCTATTATTTCGATTAGGTTTCAAATAATACAATTTATGCTGCACAAAAGTATGCTTATCTTTATGATCCTGAAGGATTAATTACTAAAAAACCTATAATTAAACATGAAAAAATGTTAGCAGAAAAAAATGCACAATTACAAGCTTTTCTAACAGATAAAGCTAATATTATAATGAGTTCATACAAAATAGATTCTATCACAAATGAACCAATATATTACCTAAAAAACTCAAAGAATATACTTTAGAATAAATTTCATGAGGAATACTTAGATAGAATATATTGCACTAGCTTTTATACCAAGTTTGCAGGAAATAAATATATATATTGAAAGGATTTGAGTAGATTATATCATATATGTTTATAATACAGTTATGAAATTTTTTCAGATCTTACCTTATTAATTCAAAAAAAAGTGACAGAAGTTGTAATTCAGGTATATAAGTATTTGAAATAAATTTATATATTAGATAATTGCTAATACATACCTATTGATTATTATCATTATAGAAACAATTGTTATTAGAATGTGAAAAATTGAAACGTTTTCTTAAACATAATTATGAATAGCATTTTCATGTTA